CGCCGCATATATAGTGGCTTCATTGCTTTAATTGTCGCACGAGATACATATCGTTATGTAAACGAAACAAAGAAAAATCCGCGCATCGTTTCTTTTCTTTTTCTTTTGTACAATTACAAAATATCTTCATTGTCACTATTTCTCTTCGTTTACTTTGCTGTTTCGTAAATTTCCTTAAACTGTAACGTACAGTCTCAAATATACATTCTACACGAGTGATTTTCTCTTTTCATATATTCATCTATGTTTATTTGAACAAAGATGCTGATTATACTGTAAAATTTTGTGCTATTTTACATATAATAATTGCACATGGAGTTCACCTTATAATTGCTCCATCATCGTGAATCTCGATAAAATATATAATCGTCGCTAATTATTGCAAATTATATAATAAAAGTAAATCTAAAAACTTTGATGTGATATTGTACACATTCTGTTGCTTCATATGTATAAAGATTATTTTTCTCCTTCTTTATATAATTCTTACTTTCACAGGCGTATTAGAGTGTATTCTTCATTTCTCTGCTTAAATTTATTATAAATACGATAAAAAGTACGCGGCATAAATAAAAATCGCTAACATTTTCGCCCTTCGGTATGAACTGTTGAATTAGATAAATATAGCTAGAATTTTTTATGTTTCAGAAGAGTGTAGCTTTCCGTAGAAGGATCTTAGTGTATTTTGTACCTCATAAGGTAACATACACATCGACGAAAAAATGAGAAAAAATATACGCGTATATAACATCAGAATGTATGTATGGAAACTTATGTGTACCGACGTTCGTTTTGTGTGCACGTATATTCACAATTTTTCAATTTAATATTTTAATAAAATATCTCTTTTTCTCGCTTACAATATATACGAAGTACGTTTCAACCTTTTAGTACAACAAACAATGTCATCGTTGATGTTGATTCTTAATACATCTTCTTTTATCATTTCTAAATTGAAGATCTTGTCTCACTTGTTTGTACTTATGTAGTAGATAGGACGTTTATATTGTATTCTTTCACATTATGATACGCTGTTGCACAATTTTCTTATATATATACAATTTTGTATATATATAATTGTTATAATTACAATTTTAAAAAATTCGTAAGCTACATTTAATTGACGATTTTTGCCAACAAGTAAAATGCAGACTTTATTGAGCTAGATTTTATTAAGCTTTAAAAAGTAATTGCAATATATATTTAAATAATTCTTACAATAATTATATCGTTATGTTTTATAAAATGCTTTTTTTCTATCATAATCAACATAAGATTTAATATATTTACAATTGTTTTAATTATAAGCAATATTTAAAAAATGGGAGTTTGCATATATTTTTCAAAGATTGAATTTATAAAAAAATGAAACAATTGCAGCATCATGTTTTTAGTACAAACTTAACAAATTGATATAATTTAGAATTCTCATATTTCATGCATATAAAAAAAATAAACAACTTATTGTGTTGTAAAAACATTGTGAATAGCGCATATATAATTTCTTTAGAAACTATTAATTGAAATATACATATCACACATACAGCATCAAATTATATCTTTCCATAAAACACATAAATATAACATGATAAACAAAGAAAATGATATATACAGTTCATATCATCTTTTTGAATTTATATTAATAAAGTTATGTGATATTTAAAGTATCTCGTTAGAATTGCACAAAAAGATTATTCTATATATATATATATTTCTCTCCCCTATATTTGCAAGAAAAATATTCTATTCAGCACCAATTTTACATTACACTTAATTCGTTTTTTGCACTTGAAAAGAAATATCTTTTTGACACTGAAGAAACAAAGCAATCTAATTTTATACAGTGTATCTCAGTAATGTTTATATGTTTCTCCCTAAAGTGAGAACATTAGAGTGAGAATTTAAGTCGAAGATATCCATATTATAAATATATCTTTCCCTCCTTCAAATGATTTTTTCATGGCATATTGCTTCTTTCTCTTTGATGATTAAGAATCGACATCAACGCGTGACTCAGCAGCGCGTGAAAACACGCGACTTTAATTAATCTGTTACATGGACCGATAAGGTCCCTGCATCTTAAGAAACTGGATCACTAGCGACGGTCCACCGGCCACTATCTCTGCCGGTATCTGCGACAATGGACAATTCTCAATTGACATAATACTGAGATTCGTGCACAATGCCAGCTCAAACGGTAGATTGTGCAGATTCGCGTTGTCGTTGATGTAAAGCGACTCCAGATTTTCCAAGGTGCCAATCTCCTCCGGTAGATAATTTAGATTGTTTTCCCCCACGCTAAGATACGTGAGATTCGTCAGGTGGCCGATCGCACGCGGCAGCAGGACGATTTGATTCGACTGCAGGATCAACTTCTGCAGTTCGCGCAGGAAACCGATCTCGTTTGGCAACGAGTCGATCCGGTTCTCCTCCAGATCCAGCACCCGCAACTTACGTAGATTCGCTATAGTGGCCGGAATACGCTTCAGCAAATTATTGGAGAGTATCAGTATCTCCAGACTCTTCAGGTACTGTATGTCGTCCGGGATCTTCATTAACTGATTCGTACCGAGGTTTAGCTCGACCATGTTCACCCATGTGCCAATGTCTAATGGTAAAGCGGTCAGCTGATTCTCCTTCATATTTAGCTTCGTGAGGTTCTTGGCTCGCGAGAAGATACCGTAGGGTATCTTGTCGATCTGATTATGTTCCAGATTAATAGAATAGACATTTGTGAATTGGGACGGTCCGCCTGACGGAAACGCGGTAAAGTTGTTCCTGGACAACGTGATGGTCGTCAAATCCGACAGGCTGGACAGCAGACCATCCGGCAGCTGTGACACCTGATTGCCCTCCACGCTGAATTCGTCCATCATCTTGCAGTTCGCCAATGACTTTGGAATACTCGACAATCTATTGTATCGAAGACCCAATCTCGTCAGCGACACTAGATTGCCGATCGTGTCCGGTATGTCCAGGAGCTCGTTGTGCTGTAGATCTAACGTGGATAACTGCACACACTTGCCAATCTCCTGAGGCAGGTGCTCCAGATGATTATGCGAAACGTCAAACGTAATGAGATTGACAAGTTCACCCACACCTGCGGGCAGTTCCTTGATTTTGTTCTCTCGCAAGCTCAACATGGTAAGATTTGTCAGATACCGTATATTATCGCTGACATATTTAACTCGATTAAAGCGCAGGAACAACGTGGTAAGCGACGTGAGTTTATACACCACGTCCGGTATCTCGTTCAGCTTGTTGTGCCTGAGATCCAGGACCCGCAGCGATTTGAGATTCTCAAGAGTGTTGGGCAGGCTGGTGAGCGAGTTTTCGCTCAGCGCTAGAGTCTCGAGATTTGTCAGGCAACCGATCTCAGGCGGCAGAGTTGCCAGTTTGTTGCCGTAGATGTAGAACTCCCTCAGATGCGTCAACTCCCTCACGGAACTGGGTAGATTCGTGATGCTGGCCTTGCTGAGATCCAATCGCTTCACACATTCGTCCCGGCAACGGACAAACTCCTTGGACACATCCAATTCCGCCTGGATCGGTTTACTCTTCTTTGTCGTAGGTTTTGGTTTATTCGACTCCGGATGCTTGACCATGACGGTCTTCTTGGTGTCGGCTTGGCCGCCACCGCCGCTGATGGATGTGGTTGACAGCTTCTTCTCCTTATTACTCGCGTGCTCCTTATTGTCGCGTAGCACCTCCATGTCTTCGGGCATGTCGCCACCGGCCGTGCAGGTGGTCAGCCCGCAGCCCTCTAGGTACTCGGGTATATCCTGCTCCTTCATGTAAAAGCTCGGTAGACTGTCGTCCCCGAGACTCGTCGCGCGATCGCGCTTCGCGTTCGACAGACACACCGTCGATATGTTACCCACGCCCGTCCAGTATTTGCACGACTTTTTCATAACCTAATGCCCGCCCTCCCTCACGTTCCCGCCCCGCGCCAAGACGACGTGTACGAGCACGTACGAGAGAGAAAGGCGAGACTCGTACAACCGCACGCATGTACGCACCCTACGCATGTATGATGTACGCACGTTCGCCGACCAACGAGATCCCGTACCGAAAATTTGCGTGACCGTGCCCTTTACTGCGACATCGTATCGTACGCGCGTCCGCATAAAATTAACGCTCGACCATGATTATTGACATTATCGATGTACGCTTGAGGTCAAAAATATCTTCCAACTTCCAACCTGAATTTGCACACGTATCGAGGTACATCCGATGCGCGTGTTTCGTTTCTAAATATTCATGCATTATGACTGTTGGTGATTCGAAAAAGACAAGGGGCGCATTCAGCGGACTCAACAGTTGGATAGCAGTAATCGAACGTGATTGGTTCTTACTTTTAGAACCAACAAATCAACGTCGAGTGTTAACAAGACAATGCTCAACTATTGGGTCTGCTGAATGTGTCCAATGTTTTATCTCAAAGCAGCGGAAAAATGTGATGACTGACATTTAATATTAAATAAGTCACATGCCATTTTTGCCATTTTTTTGAATCGCCAACAGGCATAATATACTAATATTTAGATAGAGACGAAACACGCATGTTGGATATATTCCTAGCTATTGTTGAACTCAAAAGCGGCTATCTTCAAGCGAGAGGACATTAATGTGTCGAGTGTATATATATTCGTCCAGGTGGCGCTTAAAACATTATTCCAAAGCGAAATACGAGAGTTAGCTATCTATTTTCGTATAGCTCCTGCTTATAAAATGCGGCAATGCTTGTCGCGCGGCAAAAGATGACGCAATAGCCAATCAATTTTTCGCTCTTATGGAAAAATTGTAAGTTGATCAGCTACCTACCGCATCGCCTTTTACTGCGCGGCAATCATTGCTGCGTCTTATATGTGCAGGAACCATTATGCATCGGTCTCTATAAAGATAATAGTGTTATATATAAAAAAGAGAGGGATAATAATTATATAAAAGATATAGATTACTTATATATATATTACTAGCTATTTTAAAGCTTTTTTATCAATAAGATAAATATTATGTACTATTGTACATAATAAAATTGTGCATACGCTCGTACAATCGTACAAGTACATAAAAACATATCCTCTCTTTTATATAAGGCATATATAAGAATATATATAAAAAAATAATGACAATATGCACAAAATAATTGTTAGACACATATGATAATATATAAAAATAGATTATTTTTGGAAAAGTTTTTTAAACTTAGCCCCCACACATACACACACACACATAACAATAAGTGTTATCAATCCTTGTAATGTTATCTAATTTCTGATTATAATGTTGATTTTTTTAATGTTAATTTTTTAAATATTTCTTCCATATTTGTCAAAATTAATATATTTATACTTCATATATATATATATATATATTTCTTCAATAACGTGCCATTATCATTCACTATTAGTTAACATTATCATTATAGTAACGTTATCAATACTAAGTCTTAACGATACCTCCAGTATAAATGATGATGTATATATAATAAAAGAAAAAAAATAAACGTCCATGCTCGTGCCTGGTGCTAGATCAGACTGATGTGCTTTGTTGCTTTCAATAAAATGTTAATTAAGAACTTGCTTCCCTTTCGGTGAATGACATCAAGAAGCAAGATATGGATCTTAATCAACGTACTATAGGTGCATCTTCTGTCGGAGCATCACCCTTTTTATTGTTAATTATAATATCGCGTGATTATTACAACATACGCGACAAAACGTCGACAGCGAAAAAAAAACTTCTTTCACACTCTCGTGTGAAATAAGAGGTGTTCCTCTTCACTCTCTAATCTTTCTTCATATAATGTGACATGTTAAGAACATTGTTTCAGCGTTTGTTTGATTAAATAAATTAGAATATTGAGAAAAAAAATCTGAAATTATAATACTTTTTAGACATCGCAGATTATGCAATATGAAGTGATAAATTCGTGCGCAGTATGAACCGGTTTATACTTGTACTGTATTATAGTTTCCGTGACGTGTTACTTACTGCAAGCAAATGGCCCCATTATATGTGATTCATCTTTTCTACTTGATTGATACGTCACAATGTGCAACAACAACTTCATCTACGTAGCGGATGACACCCCTTGCAGCTTCTTTCTCCTGCTTAGGAATAATTTACGTATATATTTTACTTTACGTATCTCTACGAACTTTATAACGCCGATTATGTTAGTGAAAAAGTTTAACTTACTGATGTGCATATATACATACGTATTCTGTTGGTACATGCCACTTATAATTTACTTTCATATTTCCTTGAGCTGTCGAAGATATGAAGTAGACCGACATTTTTGGCGCTTTTATTCTTTCGGCGATACTTATATAATCATTATAAATTATATTATAATTTAATTTAAAATATCTAATCTTTTAATTAAATTCTAAATTTTATATTCATTTAGATTTTGGCGATTATTTCTTATCGTTATTTTAATATATTATATTACAAAAGAGCTTAGATTAGATAGATAGATAGATGATAGAATAGATAGATTAGATCTCTTTAATCTTTGTTCGCACGTGCGACATGTTATAAACTTTTTTTAGCGTTTCTGTGTTTGATTGAATAATTGATGTTAAAATTAAAGTAAAGATTTGCCCTATAGAATATAATTTAATGTCAAAATCGTAAATAATTTTATATCAAATTAAATTATTTATAGCGACTGTATCACGAAAATTTTATAATAATTGTTCATAAAAATTCATGAAAATAAAAATTTTAATTCTACAGGGAAAATCTTTTCTTCAACTCATAAATTAATTATTAATTTTATATTTTAAAAGGCTGAAAGTGCTTTGTGTGTGTCAAATTCATGAATCTCGAAATATATTAGATTTATTAACTTTTTTTAACTATTTTTCCAAAAGATCGATTTTTGATTCTGATGTTTCGCTACTTGAAAAGTTATCAGATGAATAATTACAATGAATTTAATTCAATCTCGCTTATTATTATTTATACATACTAATATTAATATATTAATATAATTAATAATATAATTAAAAATACCAAGAATTGCCAAGGAAAATAATCATAATAATAGGCGTCGTTGATTACAGCAAAACAATACGTCAAGAATTCATAGAAATCCCTTGCAAAAGAGAAAGAAGAAATGTTCGATATTAAATAGATAGACTACTTACGTCACGGAGAATGTAAACTTCATTGGAGGAAAGTCTCCCCAACACCCCAATGACTGAAGAACTTTCTGTGCTGAACAAAAGATATGTCACCAATTAGATTATACTCGGAAACACTTCAAATGGAACTTACCAAGAAATCATGAAAATGCTCGATTCTATCCTTGTTTGATTGTGATGTAGAACGAAGGCGAGGGTTTCCGATCTTCAAATAGAACTTACTGCAGTGAAGAGGCAGTACGTATGATTTCATTTGCTGACGTAACTTTCGTCAGGTCGATGTAACATCAACATGAATAACGACTGATCAACGCGGATAGAATTGCACGAAGACAATATCCGTGAAATCGTATTAGCTCCATCGAATGTGACCTCTTGAGATAAGAGGGGAAGAGAAATTCTTATTTATTTTTCCATTCTTTTTTCCTTTTGATTTTGATTTCATTTATCATTGTTTGACGATACAAAGTCTAATTATTTAGTATTATTATGGCTTCACATATGATAAAATTGAAGCGCACAGAATTTGATCATGATGTAAGGTGATGGGGCAAGGCGTGTTTTAATAATAAAAAAAAAAGATATAATGGGAAGAGAAACTATTCTTATTTATTTTTCCATTCTTTTTTCCTTTTGACTTTGATTTCGTCTATCATCGTTTGACGATATAAAGTCCAATTATTTATTATTATTATGACTTCATATATAATAAGATTGAAGCGCACAAAATTTGATCATAATGTAAGGTAATGGGGCGGTTAAGGCGTGTTTTAGTAATAAAAAAGATTTAATGGGAACTCGTATAAAGCATTACAGATCGTTACTCGACAATCTTTTTTTTTCTCTTTGTTTCTATGTGTTCTGCTTGATTAACCACACGTGCCACACGTGACAGCGCATTAGCATAAATTAAACTAAACACAACTGTAACAATAATGTAACAATAGAAGAAAGAGCATAATAGCATAAATAGTAATCTGGCAAATTAATATATGCAGAACAAAACAAAAAATATTTACACATGGAAAACACATTTTGTGCAATTTATATATTATTCAATATCAGTAACGTACATTCAACACGTACATTTAAATTTACCTTATTGAAAAATCATTGATATTTAATATTTTTAAATATACAATTAATGGTATTTTTAGGGAGATTAAATATACAACATAAATCCTATTTTTAAGGAAGTATACCCGTTTGAATCTTCGAAAAATAGGTACATTTTCTAGATTTTTTTTGCAGCGCAACGATTTGATAAAAACTTTTTTTTTACTATATTAATACAATATTATTAAGTATTTAAATAAAAATTTTCAGCTAAAAAAATTTTTTTTCTTAAGGTTATGTGAATATTTGCAGATTTATGTTTTCATGCACAGTGTGCATGAAAATGTTAACACTCAACTTTGGGTGTTAATCATCTAACAATAAATTGAATGTGTTTTCCCATAAGGGTTAGAGATGGACCGGAAGAAAGCACGCGTAATGCTCCCAATCTTCACTCATGTCCAAGTGTTTACGTCAGAGAAAAGCGCATCTGAATCGAGCTTACATATGATGATAGCGATAGGATTGCTGGGGACTTCCCCTCCTATATAAGGCCTTTGGTCTCTGCAAAATTTTAGTGCAGGTTCACGGTTGAAGAGACTACCACGGCAAGTACTTTGATCCATTCGAAAAGAGTGCGAACTATACACGTTACGATAATTTACGTGAATTACAAATAGCAGCGTTGAATTTTCAAGCTAACATATACAATCTTTTAAAATCAACGACTGATAGCTTCTTATCAAAGGGTGAGTAAAACGAAAGAATTTGTTTATTCTGTGTATGTAAATTTATTTCAATATGATTGCTTCGAGATTAATTTAAATTAATGTTGCACATGTTAGCGAAATGAGTGATATCTCCTACGTCAGGACTGCGTTGCATCTTTTTGTAGAATTCTCTGATTTTTCTTAAATTTTTCGGAATTTTCTTCTCTTTTCAATATATATATAGTAATGAATTTAAATATATAATAAAAAAATGCTGCCTGAAATGTAATTAATCGGAACAAGTTAAAATCTTAGTATTATCTTACATATTTAATTAAATTGTTATCTGATTGATATCATCAATTACATAAAATTTCAATTTGTATCGTACAAAGGTGAGCGAAGACTATTAAAAGTGCCTATTAAAACGTGACTATTAAAAGTGACTATTAAAATTTGTGCGCAAATTTTATTATAATCAAACTATATTAATATAAAGTTATGGTGACAGACTTAATAATAAAAAGCGTAGGTTTCGATACTTTTTTTTACTATCCTCAGCGTAATTACAAAATAAATGAAATATATTGTATTAAAAATGTAATAATAATATAAATATACAGAACAAGTCACATGTTGTCAGAAGGTAAATGTTATAACGAATCTTTAAGACAGACTGTCCAATATAATATATTATATTAAAAAAGCAATTGATAATACGAATATATCAAACAAGAGTCACACATGTTGTACAGAAGTTATTAAATATTATATACAATGAACGTTCGAGACAGAATGTCAAGTGTCTCGTCCCTCCATATCGCACGATACACAAAGTAAATGAATACGTGAAGGGTGTTCACAAATAAGATGGTGTGACATTCAAAGTTTTGGTAATTTTTCGATTATTGTATAAATATGATATAAACATTCTGTGCCTGTCTGTAAATTAAGGCAGTTTTTTTGCCTTTTAATATACACCATTTCAGAAATTAAACATTTTCTAAGCAAAGATTCACGATCCAAATCCGCGCATTAAAATTTGCGCACAAACCGCGCTGGCTTATAATTGCCTTCCCTCACCTTTGTATGATACATTCGTAAGAGTCTTTATTGTTTCATTTTAATTTTAATTTCAATTTGTGTTAATATAATATAATATTTATGGCTTAAGAGTCATAAATAAAATTTTAACATTATTACTCAATAGAATTTTGTCCCAAAGCAGTTAGAAAATAAAAATCCGAGTAAGAACAGTGAAGAAAGAAAAGTAGTTAGGAAGAGTTTTGAAACAAAATGATAATTTTTACTACAATAAATTATAAGATCAAGGCTTTAATCAAGCGCAAACAATTAATTTTAATTTATACACAGTTTCGTTAACAAAAAAAAAACAAGTTTTATTGTAGACGTAAAAATTTTCTTCATATATATATATATATATATTTCTTCAATAACGTGCCATTATCATTCACTATTAGTTAACATTATCATTATAGTAACGTTATCAATACTAAGTCTTAACGATACCTCCAGTATAAATGATGATGTATATATAATAAAAGAAAAAAAATAAACGTCCATGCTCGTGCCTGGTGCTAGATCAGACTGATGTGCTTTGTTGCTTTCAATAAAATGTTAATTAAGAACTTGCTTCCCTTTCGGTGAATGACATCAAGAAGCAAGATATGGATCTTAATCAACGTACTATAGGTGCATCTTCTGTCGGAGCATCACCCTTTTTATTGTTAATTATAATATCGCGTGATTATTACAACATACGCGACAAAACGTCGACAGCGAAAAAAAAACTTCTTTCACACTCTCGTGTGAAATAAGAGGTGTTCCTCTTCACTCTCTAATCTTTCTTCATATAATGTGACATGTTAAGAACATTGTTTCAGCGTTTGTTTGATTAAATAAATTAGAATATTGAGAAAAAAAATCTGAAATTATAATACTTTTTAGACATCGCAGATTATGCAATATGAAGTGATAAATTCGTGCGCAGTATGAACCGGTTTATACTTGTACTGTATTATAGTTTCCGTGACGTGTTACTTACTGCAAGCAAATGGCCCCATTATATGTGATTCATCTTTTCTACTTGATTGATACGTCACAATGTGCAACAACAACTTCATCTACGTAGCGGATGACACCCCTTGCAGCTTCTTTCTCCTGCTTAGGAATAATTTACGTATATATTTTACTTTACGTATCTCTACGAACTTTATAACGCCGATTATGTTAGTGAAAAAGTTTAACTTACTGATGTGCATATATACATACGTATTCTGTTGGTACATGCCACTTATAATTTACTTTCATATTTCCTTGAGCTGTCGAAGATATGAAGTAGACCGACATTTTTGGCGCTTTTATTCTTTCGGCGATACTTATATAATCATTATAAATTATATTATAATTTAATTTAAAATATCTAATCTTTTAATTAAATTCTAAATTTTATATTCATTTAGATTTTGGCGATTATTTCTTATCGTTATTTTAATATATTATATTACAAAAGAGCTTAGATTAGATAGATAGATAGATGATAGAATAGATAGATTAGATCTCTTTAATCTTTGTTCGCACGTGCGACATGTTATAAACTTTTTTTAGCGTTTCTGTGTTTGATTGAATAATTGATGTTAAAATTAAAGTAAAGATTTGCCCTATAGAATATAATTTAATGTCAAAATCGTAAATAATTTTATATCAAATTAAATTATTTATAGCGACTGTATCACGAAAATTTTATAATAATTGTTCATAAAAATTCATGAAAATAAAAATTTTAATTCTACAGGGAAAATCTTTTCTTCAACTCATAAATTAATTATTAATTTTATATTTTAAAAGGCTGAAAGTGCTTTGTGTGTGTCAAATTCATGAATCTCGAAATATATTAGATTTATTAACTTTTTTTAACTATTTTTCCAAAAGATCGATTTTTGATTCTGATGTTTCGCTACTTGAAAAGTTATCAGATGAATAATTACAATGAATTTAATTCAATCTCGCTTATTATTATTTATACATACTAATATTAATATATTAATATAATTAATAATATAATTAAAAATACCAAGAATTGCCAAGGAAAATAATCATAATAATAGGCGTCGTTGATTACAGCAAAACAATACGTCAAGAATTCATAGAAATCCCTTGCAAAAGAGAAAGAAGAAATGTTCGATATTAAATAGATAGACTACTTACGTCACGGAGAATGTAAACTTCATTGGAGGAAAGTCTCCCCAACACCCCAATGACTGAAGAACTTTCTGTGCTGAACAAAAGATATGTCACCAATTAGATTATACTCGGAAACACTTCAAATGGAACTTACCAAGAAATCATGAAAATGCTCGATTCTATCCTTGTTTGATTGTGATGTAGAACGAAGGCGAGGGTTTCCGATCTTCAAATAGAACTTACTGCAGTGAAGAGGCAGTACGTATGATTTCATTTGCTGACGTAACTTTCGTCAGGTCGATGTAACATCAACATGAATAACGACTGATCAACGCGGATAGAATTGCACGAAGACAATATCCGTGAAATCGTATTAGCTCCATCGAATGTGACCTCTTGAGATAAGAGGGGAAGAGAAATTCTTATTTATTTTTCCATTCTTTTTTCCTTTTGACTTTGATTTCGTCTATCATCGTTTGACGATATAAAGTCCAATTATTTATTATTATTATGACTTCATATATAATAAGATTGAAGCGCACAAAATTTGATCATAATGTAAGGTAATGGGGCGGTTAAGGCGTGTTTTAGTAATAAAAAAGATTTAATGGGAACTCGTATAAAGCATTACAGATCGTTACTCGACAATCTTTTTTTTTCTCTTTGTTTCTATGTGTTCTGCTTGATTAACCACACGTGCCACACGTGACAGCGCATTAGCATAAATTAAACTAAACACAACTGTAACAATAATGTAACAATAGAAGAAAGAGCATAATAGCATAAATAGTAATCTGGCAAATTAATATATGCAGAACAAAACAAAAAATATTTACACATGGAAAACACATTTTGTGCAATTTATATATTATTCAATATCAGTAACGTACATTCAACACGTACATTTAAATTTACCTTATTGAAAAATCATTGATATTTAATATTTTTAAATATACAATTAATGGTATTTTTAGGGAGATTAAATATACAACATAAATCCTATTTTTAAGGAAGTATACCCGTTTGAATCTTCGAAAAATGAGTACATTTTCTAGATTTTTTTTGCAGCGCAACGATTTGATAAAAACTTTTTTTTTACTATATTAATACAATATTATTAAGTATTTAAATAAAAATTTTCAGCTAAAAAAATTTTTTTTCTTAAGGTTATGTGAATATTTGCAGATTTATGTTTTCATGCACAGTGTGCATGAAAATGTTAACACTCAACTTTGGGTGTTAATCATCTAACAATAAATTGAATGTGTTTTCCCATAAGGGTTAGAGATGGACCGGAAGAAAGCACGCGTAATGCTCCCAATCTTCACTCATGTCCAAGTGTTTACGTCAGAGAAAAGCGCATCTGAATCGAGCTTACATATGATGATAGCGATAGGATTGCTGGGGACTTCCCCTCCTATATAAGGCCTTTGGTCTCTGCAAAATTTTAGTGCAGGTTCACGGTTGAAGAGACTACCACGGCAAGTACTTTGATCCATTCGAAAAGAGTGCGAACTATACACGTTACGATAATTTACGTGAATTACAAATAGCAGCGTTGAATTTTCAAGCTAACATATACAATCTTTTAAAATCAACGACTGATAGCTTCTTATCAAAGGGTGAGTAAAACGAAAGAATTTGTTTATTCTGTGTATGTAAATTTATTTCAATATGATTGCTTCGAGATTAATTTAAATTAATGTTGCACATGTTAGCGAAATGAGTGATATCTCCTACGTCAGGACTGCGTTGCATCTTTTTGTAGAATTCTCTGATTTTTCTTAAATTTTTCGGAATTTTCTTCTCTTTTCAATATATATATAGTAATGAATTTAAATATATAATAAAAAAATGCTGCCTGAAATGTAATTAATCGGAACAAGTTAAAATCTTAGTATTATCTTACATATTTAATTAAATTGTTATCTGATTGATATCATCAATTACATAAAATTTCAATTTGTATCGTACAAAGGTGAGCGAAGACTATTAAAAGTGCCTATTAAAACGTGACTATTAAAAGTGACTATTAAAATTTGTGCGCAAATTTTATTATAATCAAACTATATTAATATAAAGTTATGGTGACAGACTTAATAATAAAAAGCGTAGGTTTCGATACTTTTTTTTACTATCCTCAGCGTAATTACAAAATAAATGAAATATATTGTATTAAAAATGTAATAATAATATAAATATACAGAACAAGTCACATGTTGTCAGAAGGTAAATGTTATAACGAATCTTTAAGACAGACTGTCCAATATAATATATTATATTAAAAAAGCAATTGATAATACGAATATATCAAACAAGAGTCACACATGTTGTACAGAAGTTATTAAATATTATATACAATGAACGTTCGAGACAGAATGTCAAGTGTCTCGTCCCTCCATATCGCACGATACACAAAGTAAATGAATACGTGAAGGGTGTTCACAAATAAGATGGTGTGACATTCAAAGTTTTGGTAATTTTTCGATTATTGTATAAATATGATATAAACATTCTGTGCCTGTCTGTAAATTAAGGCAGTTTTTTTGCCTTTTAATATACACCATTTCAGAAATTAAACATTTTCTAAGCAAAGATTCACGATCCAAATCCGCGCATTAAAATTTGCGCACAAACCGCGCTGGCTTATAATTGCCTTCCCTCACCTTTGTATGATACATTCGTAAGAGTCTTTATTGTTTCATTTTAATTTTAATTTCAATTTGTGTTAATATAATATAATATTTATGGCTTAAGAGTCATAAATAAAATTTTAACATTATTACTCAATAGAATTTTGTCCCAAAGCAGTTAGAAAATAAAAATCCGAGTAAGAACAGTGAAGAAAGAAAAGTAGTTAGGAAGAGTTTTGAAACAAAATGATAATTTTTACTACAATAAATTATAAGATCAAGGCTTTAATCAAGCGCAAACAATTAATTTTAATTTATACACAGTTTCGTTAACAAAAAAAAAACAAGTTTTATTGTAGACGTAAAAATTTTCAATGACTATTACTAAAAAATTGTATTGCGTGAATATTACTTCATAGAGTATAATCTTTTCTTTTTTGTTTGTTTCCTCTCCATGTATCAATTTTACTCGCAAAGTAATTGCAGAATAAATAATACACGCAACATAAACGTTGAGTTAAATATTTCGGGAACTATTGTTTTCGGAATACAAGTATCCTAATATTTTTTTAGCATTCGACGCTTTATCAAATTTTACTATAAAAAAGTAGTCAACTCATAAAAAAAAAAATTAACTTCGAAGTTCTTTATTACTTTCAACTGGTAAACCTCCTCCTACATATTCCAATGTCCTCCTCGTTGTGTCAAACTTCTAAAAAAAATATTTTTTAATTTAACATAATTTCTGAAATATAAATTATGGGGGAAGAGACATCTCTAACTTTTCTATAATTCGAAAATTGTTTTCTTCTTTCTATTTATTGCGCTTTAATCGATTTTACTCTTTCATTGTAAATAAATAAATAATCAAAAGTTACAATTGATTAACGAAACTATAATATGTATAAATATAAAGCCGGTCAGCGTTCGATAAAAATATTTAAATAATATTGTATTACAGTAAAATATCCATTATTATTATTTTTTTCGAGAATAAAGAATTTCTTTTAGCGCGTGTTTCTTTTCCGAAATAAAATAGTTTTTACAATTAAGTGAGAAAACTGGCAAATAAGGGCCAAAGCGCTGATATTGGTGCGTGAACTTATTATTGTTAAACTTTATTAGCAAATGTGCATTAAGAATGTATGTTTCGGACCGTTTTTTGATCCATCTTCAGCATGGATATAAATATATAAAGATTGGATTGGAATTTTAAAATTTGACATACACAATATTTTTTGTTGCAGTCAAATTCCAAATTAAAATTAATAATTAGAAAGGAAGGCTTACTAAAACCTGCGTAGAATCTGTTTTTTAATCTGTTTATCTTCTTTTTTTGACCTTCATTTATGATCATCTTTACGACATTATAATATATTAAAATAGTTTTTAATTGTGTTTTCTCTTTTTTCTCAAAAATAGATTCAGCAGGCATCTCTACACAACATGAGACAGTTGAATGAACTGAAAGAAATGTTCGACGAGAATTTATTGAATGACTACGCAAAAAACAACATCACTATCAAGGAAGAAATCCAGAAGAACAGCAACTTTGAATCTACTATGGACGGTTGCGACAAGTCGGCTCCTGCTTCATCGAATTCCCTCACCGATCAGCACAAGAAATTCATAACAATGTGCAAACAGGAACTCGGCAGCGACGATTGTTTGCCGATAGATTTTGATCGATGGACACTCAAGGAACAATATGACCATCTCATAAGCAACACTAGCAAATATTTCCCGAATATACCCAAATCCCTGAGATTTGTCTTGCCGGCGACTTTCGAGGATGGAGACTGCGGTCGACCGGTGAACGAGAGGCCGAATTGGTTAGACATGGACAAGTTTAAACGCGGACAACAATTCGCTTTGCGTCATTTTTGCAGTGTCTCCATAAGCAACCTGATGGGCTTGCTGCAGATATTCAGCTTTGCTGATGGATTGAAGCCGCTGATTCTCAGCCAGAAATCCAATACGCCGTATCGCGCCTTCAAGCGCTACGTGTCATCGATCAACCGTTTCCGAAACTGGTACACGAGCAATCCTTGGTGCAAAGGAACGCAGGCCTATCACGACATCCAAACAGTACGAAACCTGCATCGCGCCATGAGACGGAAGTTATGCAACATGAGCGATGATCGGATCGATCTGGCTAGCGAGATTTCGCATATAAAGTGCCCGGCATTTAATACGATCACGAAAGACTTCGCGGACGCGTGTCCAACGGCGGAAAACTGGCAATGCCCGTATACGATGTCAAGGATGAAGGGTCTGAATCAGGGCGACATGTCGGGCACGCAGTTTGCCTGCATGGGTCTGATAGTGCTCTATCCGGAGCAGTTTGGAGTGTATAACGCCAGCGACGAAGACCTGGAAGCGTTCTGTCATCTCTGGCGAGGACTGGGCTACCTGCTGGGCATCGAGGATCAGTACAACTTTTGCCGCGGCAGTTTGCAGGACATACGTCAACGTACCGACGACTTCATCGAGCATTGGGTAAAGCCAAACTTCCGCACGGTGACAGCGGAATGGGAGCATATGAACCTATGCATCTACGAGGGCATCGGCGATATCTTTTACTTTAACAGTTATAAAGTTTTTCTGGTCCACCTATGCAATATGTTCAAGCTCAACATGCCTCGCCTGTACAATTCCCTCAGTTTGTTAGAAAGAATAACGTACCTAGTGTTGAAGTTTCTGTTCCTCTATTTGATGAAATTTCCAAGTGTTGTTTCCTACATGAATGCGATGTTTCACAAGAGCCTGAATAAAGCGATAAACTTAGGACCTAGAGAACATGCCAAGCTTAAAGAGAAGTCATCCAAGATCGTCCCGGAATTTGTCGTCTAAGATATATTTATAACGTAATTACTTTTGCATGCAAAGTTATTATGTAAATGAATTATATGCACGTGTCATATAATAAATACGCAATACGTAATCTCTACGAAATATCAAAATATACGATCTCCACAATGACAGCTACTTAGTGAAGTAAGCACTAAGCACAGCGAGCGAACTAATCAGCATCGCGGATAAGAGACAATAATATCAATAACATGCCTTTTTTAGAGAGGAACCATTTATTTGCATAAAATAATTTAATTAATAAATAATAACAATAGTATAATTTAATTATTTATTTATTTATTTAATTAAATTTAAAAATATACTAAATATTCTTACTAGATATGTAGCATTATTGAAAAATATTTGAAAAAAACATTCATTTCTTTATAATTCAGTTTTTAAGTTAAATATATAATTTAATAATCTCTTAAATTAAATTTAAAGATGTACTAAATATTCTTACTAGATATGTAGCATTATTGAAAAATATTTGAAAAAAACATTCATTTCTTTATAATTCAGTTTTTAAGTTAAATATATAATTTAATAATCTCTTAAATTAAATTTAAAGATGTACTAAAGTAATCTCTACGAAATATCAAAATATACGATCTCCACAATGACAGCTACTTAGTGAAGTAAGCACTAAGCACAGCGAGCGAACTAATCAGCATCGCGGATAAGAGACAATAATATCAATAACATGCCTTTTTTAGAGAGGAACCATTTATTTGCATAAAATAATTTAATTAATAAATAATAACAATAGTATAATTTAATTATTTATTTATTTATTTAATTAAATTTAAAAATGTACTAAATATTCTTACTAGATATGTAGCATTATTGAAAAATATTTGAAAAAAGCATTCATTTCTTTATAATTCGCGATTCTCATCTACACACATACATATTTTCATATAAAAAATCTAACTTATAAAATAACTTTTGATACATTGTCTATACGTTCTCATAAATTAATATCATAGCCGTTGATATTATCATACGTAATACATAAATGAGGAACATAGGAATTTCAAATTTAACAGCATAGAGATATCTCAAGTATCAAAAGTTATTTTATAAGTAATTACGTTACACTGCAATAAATTTGATGTTTTTTGAATGATTTGATCCAATTTCAAAGTACTTCGATTATTTTTTGTGGATATAGTTATGTAACTTATTTATTACTCATATTTGACGTTTTGTATAACTAGAACAACATAGGCGCGCGCTACGCGCGCGCTTTTATTTACGGACATTTCTCAATTTTTAATAGATTATACAATTAAAAATGTGATTTTATGTTTACATACACGTTTTTACGCGCATACACAAACACATACATACAACACACACACATGTATGTACATACATATACATATGTACATACATATGTTTAATGCGACCCGGGTACGCCAAGTTTTTATACCTTGCTTTGATGTAAGTTTGTTTTATGCAACTTAGAGTTGATGAGAAATTTTCTTTCAATAAATATATTCCAAAGCGTTAGATGTGTATATATTGTGCATTTAGTTAATGTTAATTATAAAATAACTCTTATTTGAGCTATACGCCCTATTACTTATAATAGTGTTACGATACGCTTACAATATTATCGAGTGGTTCGCAGATGACAATATGACTATGACTATAAGTTTCCGCATAGGTACCTATGTTTTTTGAATTATTAGATCTAATTTTGAAGCATATTGGTTATTTTTGAGGATATGGTTAATGAACTCGTTTTTAAGAATCCTATATAAAAAAACTCATGTAGACGCGTGAAATGAGCGTTTTGAGTCGATATGTATCGCACGTATTGTTGCCATTTTACCGCGTGTCTGATTGGCGGTCGATGATGCGTCGATGAGAGGTGTGAACGTTTAATCGAGTTTAGTTCGGTGTTTGACAGTTTGGTGTGACAGTTCGGTGACAGTTCGGTGACACTTTGTACATCGTGAGCGGGGTTAGTAAATATTCGTAGTATAAATATATTTAAAGAATATTTAAAAATGCGTGTCTGATTGATGGTCGATGATGTGAATCGAATGTGGTCGAACGAATGTTATCGAGTTAGTTCGACAGTTTGATGACAGTTCGGTGACATTTCATGAGTGAATAATATCAGGTAATAATATAAATAAATATATATCGTTGAATATTATATATAATGTTAAAATTTATTAAATATTATTAAATATTATTAAAC